GTGAGGACTGCTGGCCTATGATGGCTACTGGTCTGTGAGGACTACTGGCCTATGATGGCTACTGGTCTGTGAGGACTACTGGCCTATGATGGCTACTGGTCTGTGAGGACTGCTGGCCTATGATGGCTACTGGTCTGTGAGGACTGCTGGCCTATGATGGCTACTGGTCTGTGAGGACTGCTGGCCTATGATGGCTACTGGTCTGTGAGGACTGCTGGCCTATGATGGCTACTGGTCTGTGAGGACTACTGGCCTATGATGGCTACTGGTCTGTGAGGACTACTGGCCTATGATGGCTACTGGTCTGTGAGGACTACTGGCCTATGATGGCTACTGGTCTGTGAGGACTACTGGCCTATGATGGCTACTGGTCTGTGAGGACTACTGGCCTATGATGGCTACTGGTCTGTGAGGACTGCTGGCCTATGATGGCTACTGGTCTGTGAGGACTACTGGCCTATGATGGCTACTGGTCTGTGAGGACTACTGGCCTATGATGGCTACTGGTCTGTGAGGACTGCTGGCCTACCAATCTCTGGTGGTTAGTGGCTTACTAATTACTTTGTTTTACAAGATACAGAAAAATAACTTTGGAATCACCTAACAATCTTTTGAAAAACAAAATGTTTCTTGGCTTGTGTTCCTCTAAAACATGTTGTAATACGATTGGTTATTCCAAGCACATGACTAAAATGTCAATACTGATTGACTGTTACTCTGCCACTATAGGTCAGGATAATAATTAACTACTGACCTACCAAGCTAAGTATATACAATGGGAATTTCTTTCCCATAATGCAATGCACATATATTCAGAATAACATACATAAATGTAAAACTTTCATAATAATTGCCAGTGTTTCCTCAAATCAAATTTGGCAAGAAATGTGAAAACCCTTGACTCAGGTGTACTTGGATATAGTATGAATGATATTAGCAGAAACGTTTGCCAAATTTCACTGAGAAAATTCATAAAAACAAAAAAATGACAAAAATGTTATCTTAGTTTTTAATGTATTTGCATTGTAATGTAAAGTATTTGTTCATAATTTTATATTTTGTTATTAAAGTGACATAAGTGGGGAAAAAATCATATATTTAATTATGAATGATATGAATTTTACAGTTTCCAGTAACAGCTTTCCATAATCAGTTACAACAATGGGAATTGCTCTCCCATAATGCATTGTCACGTTCAGTAACATGCTTGGTAGATGCAAATCTAGAATACAACTTAAACTCCCATAATGCATTGTAAATCTGCTCAGTAACAAGCTCAGTAGAGACAAAACATTAATTTCTATCCCACAATGCATTACATTTATGTGAGATATCTGAATATATGAATAATGTATAATAAACAATATATAATATTATTTTTCATTTTGTGAGTTTTTAGCACTCAAAATCACAGTGAAATATGATTTTGTGTTATCATACAAATAAGTACAACCATTCCTCAAGGCCATACATGCACAGTCCTTAGCAGATTGTTAAACAGTTACGTATCACAGTAATCTAAGGAAGTCTTGATGTGTTACATGAAGCTGGGGATGTACCCTAAGCTCCTGCTGCAACGTCTGTGCTCGCTTAAAAGCCGTGTCCATAGAAGATGGCACCAGGTTACGCAATATTTGATCTTTCCAGTTTTCAACATCCCCATCAAGACAATTTTCGTTAACTGCAGTATTCACACTACAGTACTCATGATAATCATTGGATGGAAAGAGCTTCCGCAGAAATCCCACAATTCCAGTGTAGGTCGGCACAAGTACGGGGCAACCAGCTTGCATAGCTAAATACGCTAGCAAATGAAATGACTCCAATCTCTCAGGAGCGATAAGAACCACGCTTTGCTGGATGGCTATTTGGCAATCTCTAGTTGATTTTCCATGTTGAATGACAACATGCAGATGACTAGATGTCTTATCGGCGAGATATCGCTTGAAAGCTTCATACAGGTTTGGAGGAACTCCATGCATTTTCCATGTTATATAGTCGCTATACATCGCGTTGTACACGTCTGCCGCTTTTCCCATGGCAATGGCTGCAAATTTATATTTATGAAAGTCGTCTTCACTTTTCATATCACAAACTGTCAAGACTTGTTTGTGTCCACATGGATAGCGGAAAGTCAGATTAGAGAAGGCTTTCCACAGCGGTGGCATATACAGCTCATGCTGTGGCGGTTCATTTAACGCATAATATTTGTTTGTAAAGTGGCGGAATACAGATGGACCGACAGATAAAACTATGTCGGCTTGCTCTGCAAATCTCATAACATCAGTTTCCCCTTGCATATCGTTAACGTTTTCAGGAATCAGTATATTAAAGAAGATTAGCTTGGCTTTCGGAAAAAGGCTTGACCTTATATCGATAGCTGCGCGGGTAATATCGCTACAATCTCCCGTCATGTTATATGAAACCACAGCCGATACGTCCGAGATTTCTTCAAGGTGAGAATACAAACTGCCATGATGAAGAAGCCAACTGTTCATATCTGAACGGCCCATCAACCGAGCAGCCCGTTCCCTCGGGTAGACAATAGTAACTCCAGTCTTTTCGTCAACCTTGAATAACTTCTCTTCTGTCCACCACTGTGGTGTAACATTTAACACCAGCATCAGCATCAGCATCAGCGGTTGCCATAGTGAGCAGCTGGTTGATTGCGTCCATTCTTTCAAGATCCTGGGCGTAGTGGTTGGTGATAAAAACAACTGAAGAACCTACTGATAAAATGTCAGAAATAGATTATATATTCATAACAGTAAGTAACAGTGCCTTCTAAGCAGATGTGACTGAAGCACAGAGATTTGTAGTGACACAACTAAGTTATGCTAATTAATTCCTTGGTGCATCACTGACAACAGAAAATCCACATTTCTATAGTAATCTTGAAAAACATTGGTGAAACAAAATCCTCATTTTATATGCAAAATAAATTTTAAAAACAAAGAAAATCAGAAGGCAGAATTATTTTTTAGCATCAAAGTTACATACAATTTAAATTTTTCTTGAAGATCACTTTCTCCAACTTGATTTGATGGGATTCTATTTTGATTCAGCCATAAATCAGTCATGTTATAGGACACACTGAGTGAGACCAGGAAAACAAATATGAAATCTATTTCTTGTTATTTTTGGAATTTGAAATGCAGATTACACTCAACTTTTGCCATGGGTGATTGCCAAGAAACTGACACTGTCTTATCTTAAAAACAAATTTTCAAGCACAGAGAATTTGTTTCTAGCCTAAGCATTTACAAAGGCAGCATTGTGATTGAATGTATTTTATATAAAACAAATCATCGTCAATGACATAGTCCCTGTTTGTGTTATTGACATGAGATACATGTATGTACATATGAAGTTTAAACTTGATTGGTCCAAGATCTGTGGATGTGAATTCGCTTAAATGAGGACCACCAGTCAGCTATTGATTTGATCAATATGATGTCTGATGTATGTGTAAAGTTTGAATTTGAATAATTCAGACATGTTGAATATATGGATTAGGAACTGCATTCTTTGAAACAAAATGGCCACCAATCGTCCATTTTTAACTTGATTCTGAAAATAAAATGACATGTATCAAGGTCCCATTATAATATGATTAAGAATATGTACCAAGAATCTGTCAAAGCACTGGAATGGTGAAAATGTGTGATTTTTTATCTTAAAATTGCTGTTATTATTATTATCTTGAATTGGATCATGTGCATATGTTTGATATAATGTCTGATGTATGTGTAAAGTTTAAACTTAATCGGTCCAGACATATCAGATATATGGATCTGGAATTGCATTCTTTAAAACAAATCAGCCATTTTAAACCTGATCCAGAAAATGAAACGACATGTGTCAAGGTCCTATTATAATATGATTAATATTATGTACAAACAGAATCTGTTCATGCACGGCTGAGATCCTATAAATGTACCAATCATCAAAAATTTGCTTTTATTTTGATTTATCATGAAAATTTAAAATGTGGTGGAATATTTTGTTTCTTACACTTTTTATGGTTGTATTCGAAAATTTTCCCAACACATATATCACTCAACATCAAGCATTTAATTTAACTATTTTCTTAATCATACACGCAAGGTTTTCATTTGTGTGTTCAACTATAAGATCTATTGTATTGTAATGTCATGCTCACATTGGATTTCATAATGTTCTCATGATGTCAAATGTACTTTGTTTCGTATTTATTGTTCTAATACTGTAGTGTAGTTTTCTATATAGTCTTATTTTAACCAGGACTGATTTTAATGCTTTTATAATAATGTTTTTTTTTTCTTTTAATAATAGCAATTCCAAAGCATTTGCTAGATCTTAGATGGATAGTTTTGAGGTTGAATTTAGAAGAAAAAAAAATTAGCTGTCTTGTCTTGTCGTACATGTATAATGCAGAGTAATAACTTTAATGAACTGGATTGCAAGTGATATTTTTTCAATTCTGATATTTGGCAACGTTGGTGTATGTACAGTCAAATATATCATTTATTAGTTTTGTATTTTATTTCCCTTTTTGTTTATTAGTCATGTTATTTTTATATGCTTTGTTTGCAATGAAGATAATAATAAATAATGATGAAATTAAAACACAGTGAATAATTAAAACACCATAATTCACTAAGACAAAATTGATCAAAAATGTTTACAGACTATAGATAAATTTTAAGATTTCGGCACCATATTAATATCCATTCAAATGTTTGTGTTTTTTTTTGTATATTTCTCTCAATCAAAACATTTAAGATCATACATGTATTTTATTTTGTTTATATATATGTGCATTATTTTAATATTAAAAAGTTCAACAGACTTTTAACCCTTTGAACACTAAAGCCAACTTCAGTTCCCATCCACAAATAATTGATTTACAGTCTGCCATTTTTAACATTAAATGTTGGCAAAAATTTTCAAATTTTTCAATCAAAAACTGAAAATGTTGTATTTAGTCAGTTTGGTCCAAAATTATAAGACTGAATTCAGTGAAAGTTACAGAAAATGTGAACAAATTGACACCAATATTGAGCATGAACAAAATTTGGCACTCAGCAAGTTAACATTGTTTAGCATTATATATCTAGAACACTTTATATTCAACACAAATAAGGGCACACATTCAGATTTTACTTGAACCACTCCTTCCTTTTCAGTTATATAGCTAAATTAAATCACATTGATTTATGGTATAGCGCTGACAAAACCCATGTACGTGTACAGTCCTGTATCTTGCCAAAAGGTCATGAACTTAGATTGTAGTGTCTGGCACAAGTCCAGGAGTACTAACAGAGAAGGCCCCTTAATATGTGGAAAATGATTCAAATAACAATAGTCTACCTAACCTATTATAAAGCGAGACAATAGAAAACCTGTATTGTGTTTTTTCACTTAGCTAGGGAGTCATTTTGTTTCTGTTGTGGTACAGCTAAAAATTTATTCCAATAATGGCTGTGGAAACGTTTAAATCCAAGTCATTCCTAGATGAAATTGGTAAGGATTTCCTTAGCTGTTCAATCTGCCTGGAAATCTACAAGAATCCGAAAATCCTACCATGTCTTCATACATTCTGTCAGCAATGTCTGTTAACTATAAAGGCCCAATCTGGAGGTGTTTTGAAGTGTGCAACATGCAGAATTCAGTGCAACACACCCATCCAGGATCTGAAATCAAACTTTTTTGTGATAAGCCTACTAGACAAGTTTCACAAAAAACAACGACTGAAGCCAGACGTGCCATTAATATGCGAGACATGCCAGGTAAATACGGCAACACACAGTTGTATTGACTGTCCTCAGTTTTGTTGTGATGTCTGTGTTGATGCACATTATCGCATTCCAGCTCTACGGTTACACAAGGTCCTCACCATTGACCAATACCGGGAGTCACATCCTTGGAGTCATCTGTCCAAAGTATTCTGCCGTGATCACACAGACAGTCAGTTGAAATTCTACTGTGATTCGTGTCAAGTACCAATATGTACTGATTGCACTATACTTAAACACAGAGTCCCTGAACACATCCACAGAGACTTACAGGAAGTAGGTGATGAATACAAACATGAACTGAAGCAGATGCTTCGGCAGTTAAAAGAACAGGAGGCAAAATTCAATAGCAAAAGAGCTATGGCTAAAACCACAAGAGATGAAATCAGAAATCAGTGCGAGGCAGAGAAAGCGAAAGTTAAAAGAAGAGCAAAAGAAATGATAGAGAGAATAAAGAAAGAAGAAAAGATGCTAATAGATGCCTTGGATGAAAATGCTGCAATGGGATTGAAAAGTGTAGGAGAGATGATTGATGAGATGGAATTTCACCATGGCAACATAGTCAGCACGCACCATTATCTAGACACACTAGTGCATCATGGGAATGCTGTGCATTTACTGTCTACCAGGACTGAAAGTAAAAATCGTATCATGCAACTGGTTGCTATGGAAACAAAACCACTTATCAGTCATGATATCATTGAGTTCCAGCCTGGAAGTGACCGTGCAGCGCATGTATTGGTGGGTGTGATAAAAGCTGTGTGTACAACTAAGGGCATGAGAGAAAACATTCCAACACAATGCCCAAATGGAGACTCTGTGAACTTGCTCATCACAGCCAGAGAATCCAGAGGAAAACAAATCATTTCTAAGAAGGATGCTAGGGTGACGTTCCGAAGTCCAGATGCATCATGGGAAAATGACATTCCTGATAAAAACAACAGGACTTGCAGTGGGGGTATACATAGAACTGGGAAGATGCATATCAAGCATCAAGTTGCCATGACATTTGGTAACCAACAGAAACCAGGATCCACATTCCAGATTCCAGTCATCCGAGGACTAGTACAGACGATTCAGGACGGGAAGTTCAGAGACCCATATGGACTAACGATAAACAAACATGGAGACTTTGTCACAGCCGACAGAGGTAGAAATCAAGTGATTACACACGACAGAAATGGAAAACACATACAGTCTTTTACATTTACTGGTCAGTTTGCAAAGCCGTTCAAACCGTGTGATGTAGCGATATCAGATGGTAGTAAATACTTTATTCTAGATGACAATAATAAACAAGTTGTTGTTAGCAATGAAAATAGAAAATTGATCAGGGCATTTGGAAGCAGTGAACTTGACTTTCCTCACGGCATTGCAATTAATCCTGTTACGAAAAATGTTTATGTAACAGAGTATATTCTAGGATGCGTTAGAAAGTACAAACAAGACGGTTGTTATATCAATGCATTTGGACGAAAAGGAGACCAGCCAGGAGAGTTTAATGCTCCTTACTTGTTAGCTATTAACAAAAAAGGGATGGTTTATGTGGCGGATAATATCAATGGGCGTATCCAGGTCTTCAATTCTGATGACCAATTTATGTTTGAATTCTCTTCCACTGGTGATGGCATAATGACTAGGCCAAGGGGAGTAGCCATAGATAAGAATGATTATGTCTATGTGAGTAGTAATCACAGAGTTACGAAGTATGACAGTTATGGTCAGTTTATTTGTAGGATTGACAGTGATATGGACAGTTTGAGTTATCCACGGGGCATAGCCGTAACTGATGACGTACGTTGTAAAATATCTGTAGTGGATAACGGCAATAAATCCATTAAAGTGTTCGTAGAGTGAACGAGTTGAACTAAAAAATCTAAACTGACTAATCTAATGGTTAGGGTTGGCATGGTTGCTAAGTTACATAGAACATTGCCAAAATAGAATATTACCATGTACAAATTTAAATGACAATCTTCTGGTGCATTTGAATATCATGTAAGCAAACAATGTATATTCCATGTGTTGTACATGTCGCGTGGGACCCATATTGACCCATTTTTTTTATTACCAATAATATGAAAATCAACATATCACATGTAAATTAAGAGAATTTTTGTTGTATTTCACATGTCAAATCTTGTTTTTTTTCAAACAGAAATAAAGTATAAATTATTTAAGAAATAACCATCAGTTTCATGACATATACACAAGAGCGATGGCAACATTATATAAAGTTCATTTTAAAGGTAATTCCGAGATGCAGAAATAACTTTAAAGCACCAAAAAACATGATACAGCTTCTGAAATGTTCCTTTTGCAAGTGTGGTTGAATGAAATGGGCCTCATAACTAAGATACAGTGATTATAGACACATCGAGTGATGATGCAAATTCGCACCCATATTTTGGCATTGCAAAATTTATTTGTGTATTTTTTTTAATATACGAGAATAATTCCAAAAAAATACATACACACTTAAATTCAAATTACCTGTCATCCAAGCAAATCATGCACTTACAGGCGTAATTATTAATTATTAATATGTAATAATTATTTACTGCATAATATGAGGTTATTGTGCGGATATCACAAGTATGGGAAAGTACAGTACGATTATCGACAGACATGTTGTGGTGGTCCATGTGACCACATACTGTCTGAATGTCTGAATCTCCCCCATTAACATTTGCCACTATCATGGAAATACATTACAAATTGTCCCATATTTGGAATTTGCATTTCTTAATAAGGTTTTTATAAACATTTTTTGGCATTGATATGTAACTCTATTGGAGACAAACTTTTACTAGATGGTATAATGGTATATCCATGTCAACAGACCTGAGAAAGGGAGGGACAGGCAATTGACTTATAATACAAATTAAAAATTAATAATTATTATTGCTATAAACAAATTGGTAAATCTAGGACGCTAAATGACGTCAATCACAATAACTCGCAATAAGTTTTCAAAGTCATTTTTCTGAAATATTCAAACTGTCTGAAAATCACCCGAGACAGGAAATGGCTGCATAGACATGTTTTGGTCTGCAATATTTTTCACTGTTTTTTGAGAAATTAAAACATTTATTGTTGAAATTTTATTTTTTACTTAAAACATATTATTTTCAAAAAACGCTGGCATTTCCTTCCCTCATTTCAAAGTAGAAGGGAAAATGGGTGAAAATATCTGTGCTGTTCTACATACCTTTGCTTGGCCCAGCAGAACTACTCACTCCAGAGTTTTCTTGTATCGGTAACTTATCAGTGACCCTCGATTCTTCTTGTACAGCGACGACCGACTTTTCGGATGTACTGTCAGGAACACCTTCTGATGAACAAGCCATTGTGACAAGAAGTAGCACTCCCTCTGATAATTAATGGAAAATTACTTAGGTGAGTGTTTCTGGTGACCATGCTTATAGAATAAATAACAAAATAATATACTGAAATTATAATTTCAAATAAAGCATTCCCTCTATGGTGAAAATTTGTATCACAAAGAATAATTGACTTCTAATGAAAAGCTTGTTTTTATGAAAAGGCTTATATACAACTGAAAGCCAGCTTGTAAGTTAAGTTATGCTTAGACTGTACTGTACCTGGAGGAAGTGCGTTGAGGCATGCAAATACAATAAATATGTCTCATAATTATACCTCAAATCCTAAAAATCAATATAACCAAACAGAATATTATGCTCACCTAAAACTATGATTTTAAATAATTTTCTGCTAGAATAATTTTTTTTCATTCAAATTTATTTTATTTTTATCCAAAGCAAAATATAATAAACCATAAACATGTCATACAGTGCTAAAAATGTATGGTGTAACCATGGAAACAATTAAAATGATATTGACTTGAACCATACATTGCTGAGTTGCCATATATTCATTGTAGCATAAGTCAACACTACTGTAATACATTACACTTTACTTTATATTGGTGGCAATTAGAGAGAAATAAAGTTCAATGTCACTGTGACTCCATGACCCTTGTACCTGGTACTCATGGTTAGAGGGTCATTCTCTAAAATAGGAAAGGCACCTCATTCAGAATAAAAAAATACATGATTTTTCTGCCAAAAATAGTGACTTATTTCCACACAAAAAAAAAAAAAATTTTTTTTTAAAAAGCTCCTTGTTTATTAGTCACTGTCAATCACTTACACTATTTGTTATTAATTAATATTATTGATTAATAATTAAATATGGGTATAATTACCCAAGAATTTGACTTGGGGTACCCTCAGATAAAATTAGATTAATTACCAACAAAAAGTAGTAGTGACTGCAGTAAACACAATTAAACATCAATGAAATACCAAAAGAATATACATTCCCTATTTTTACAATTTCTCAATTAGTTAGTTCTACTGAAATTAACACGTGCATGGTAAAGTTACCATGAATACCACAAATCATGTAAAATGTCACTGTTACAATTTTAGGAAAAATATGCAAAAATGTGTATTTTATGAATGGTTTACAGTAAAATATTTGTTTTTGAGACACCCTTACATTTTATGAGAGGTGTAACACACATTGCTGGGTACAATGTATGTCCTAGAAATGAAATGTTTTATTAGACACTAAGAATTTGACTAAATTGAGAACTCAACAAGTTTTAAAATACACAGTAAAATGTGATGTACAAAATGAAATTACCAGAGGCACATATGGATAATGTTATTGTAATGCATGGTGTGTATTGAACTAACAATCAAAAATGTATACTGATAAAAAATTTCAAATTCTAAAGAAGAAAACAGCATATAATACTAGAGAGTTTTGGTAAATGTAAATGCTTTTTTTTGGGGGCTGAGTTGACATCTGAAAACAAACCGGCAGAAGAATGTTAAAATAAATAAATGTAATCTTCTTATCTATAAGGCATTATAAACATTCAATAAATACAAACACCCACACACATTTAGTATTCATGAGTCTGAAGTAACAACCACTATATTCTGGCAATGACCAGTTTCATGCTGTTTTTTTAGAAAAAATGCACAAAATTAGAGCAATGCCTGAGAAATGGCATCAGACAGACCACAGTCCCTCAACACTTGTACATCCAAACTTGAACTAAACATTAGAAGTTTTGATGACAAAACACAAAATTAAAAATGCAATTAAATGAAAGGACATTCCACTGCTTCCATGAAACCAAATCTTTTGTGATTTTCCCCCATAGTATTACTGCATGCAAACTTTGAAATTGTTATAATCTGAGACAATTAAAATATTAATTCAGAAATTAGTACAAGCATCCTAATTTCTCCCTACATTTTTTAAAGGCCACACATGTAGAATAAATTTGAAAGAACATTAGGATATGAAGATATTTATTATCGATTGAGTTACCTATATGATTCCATGTGATCTACCTTTGTTCGAATTAGATGGTGTCACACTTATATTGTTTGTGCAATGATTACAGAACAAGTACGTCATATGGCCATATGTCAGGGTTACTACAAGGGTCAGGCACATGAAATTAAAAAAATTTCAAGATGTTTAGCAAGAAGTTTTTGAAATTTAAAATTGTATTTGTGTGTTTTATAGAAAGCTTTCAGTGAAAGAACAATTGAATTAAGTGATTTTAGGAAATATAAATAAAAATAAACTTAATTCAACTACTGACATACAATTTGATGAGCTGCCAAAATAATGATGTGATGCAGTAAAGATCTTAAATACAATGCCAGAAACGTTTTTGCATAACATCAGGAAACACATACAATGATTACCAGTACTTTAAAGGGTGATAAAATGGAGGTAAAACAAGATACTGGTATACATGAATAATATGATAATAATCTTTAGCAAAAGAATCACAATGAGAAATCTCTTTATCCCAATCTATTTCCTTTTGGATTTATGAAAATATGAATGAGCTGTCACATCAAATTAAAATTCCATCTGACAATAACATTTCTCATTTACTTTTACATTTACTTTAGTTCAAAATGAGACATCAAACTTTATTTTAGCTGTGACAAAAATAATAAGGTTTCTTTCCTTAATCATTTATTTATGTATTTTCACTAAATATGTACATTAACTCTATCTGTTTTCAAAACTATTGTCTTATTAACAGAAACTTTTATTGGAAACAATACAGTTCATTTATATTATTAGAGACCGAAAAAAGATAATCGATAGACTGAATAGCGACGAAATATACATGTATATTTATAGGTGATTATCTATTTCATATATTTCATTTATTTCAATATAGATTCGGATCTACGGTTAACGTTATATTGATATATATTATATAGTTATATTTACGATCTCAGTGTTAAGGCCGCCTGTTACCTAAACCAGCCATATACTTTATGACTGGTATAGTTTCAGAGGTTCAATCTTTAGACTGCTTCTAAATCGTCAACTCAGGTGTTTACAGGTAGAGACGACGTCAACTGACTCTCTTATGTGTCTGATATAAACTACAAGACTTACATAATAATATACTCTTAATGTAAAAATTGTTATTGAAACTTACTATCTTACCGTATGTTACGATATTACATCTGCCAGGTGGGACAACTCGACGCTCTTAAGGTAGGGCAGTATGATTTGACCTTTGACACCATAGCGCCCTCACTTATGTCAAAGTTCATCTACTGATCGCGCCAAATTCACAACATCTAAAATGGCGAATACAAATGTTGATTACGATAGAAACGATTTACCAGTCCTGCTGCCGATTTATTATAAAAAACTGTTTCCTTATGGACCGTTTTACAGGTGGCTGAATTATGGAGGAGGTAAGAATTAAGAGTTTTAAAACCTGAACTTGTTATCGCCTGCACATTACACTGACTTGTATCAAAGAATCATTGTCATTGACAGGCTGTTTAAAAATGTGTCAACGCTGCCATTAGCCTCTGAAATCTAATGTGATTTAATTTTTATTAGCCACAATAATTAATTAAAATCTGAAATTACAATATCATTCAACCCAATACAATATGATGAGGACTGACCTGTTTAACTTAACAAACAAGTTAACATTGTTTTACGTTACGGTATAACAAACAAGTTAACATTGTTTTTACATTACAGTGTAACAAACAAATTAACATTGTTTTACATTACGGTATAACAAACAAGTTAACATTGTTTTACATTACGGTATAACAAACAAGGGCACAGATCTATAAGCAGTACCTACACACGAATTGGTGACGTCATAAAATACATGACCTTCAATCGGGGTCGTTTCCTCGGTATATACGAATTGGTATATGCAAATTACAATAAAGATACTTAAGACATTACACATAAGGTAAAACAAATCACGTGACAATATAATGATAATAACGGTGATAAATCCTAGCTTAACAGTTGAACAGAACGATCATATAGCCAGTCGGGTCACGCCGAGGGTCACGAACTGTGTTCCAAAATGGCCGTGTGGTTGAAACTGGGTCATGGCGTGACGGGTGAGCATCATTGTACACTCACAAAATCATAATAAAACGGGGAAGTGGTTGCATATTACGGCGTAGCCAACATGGGAAATGA